GGCGTAGTAGGACCTTGACCATATCAGTGTTCTGTCCACGTTCGATGCGCGTTTCGTCACGTTGATAATGCTCTGAATGGTAACGATGGCGATTAATGATCTGAGTGCTTTGTCGGTTCGTTTAGCCAGCTTCTAACTCTCTGAGATGTATCGCTTTCGAGCCACCCGCTGGACTGGCCTAAATTTACTCGGCGCACGCTTTGTTGTGTTTTGTTCTTTCTTTGCCGTTCGCTGCCATTCGTAATCGCCTCTTCTTCATGCTTGCCAACTTTTTACCAATTTTGTCATGTGTTCACGATGACCATAAATCAAAGCGTTCTTGACGAATGGCATACGGCCTGCTGTGCTGTGCTGTGCTGCGCGATGATCGTTCGTTGGCCATGTTTTTCCGATCGGTCGATTGTTCGCTGTCCGATTGTTCGTCCTAGCGCCTAAAATTAGGCCTTTGCTTAATTAAGGCCACCGTGCATGACGGACTGTAGTCGCTCGCTTGGGCTGCGAAATTTCCAAAAGGTGACGACGGTGACGAAACAACGAACAATGCCGTGCACGCAGAACACGTGACATGCAATAAGCAAATAATAAGTGGTCATAAGACTAACAGTAAACCAGCAACGTTCACAATTCGACCAGTCACCGGCTGTTCTTTGCTTTCATCTGCATCGCAAATAAAAGGCGTTCGGGCCAGATCGAACGAATAAATGTTCTTCAGTGCTTCTGACGAGATGTTTCCATTTTGTTGCTGTTCCAAGCAATCGTCTGTCATCAGGCTTCGTCTACAGTACGCGTTCCCCAAAGCGTCAATTATCATCTGTTCGCTGGCAGTCGCCCAATCACCGGTCTTGAGCGTCTTGTGTCTGTAGTCAGTCATTCGGTCACTTTGGTTTTGTAGCCTGTTTTTTTTCTTACGACAGCACATGACACCAGATCGTACCATTCTTAAAATATTGGTCTTAAGACGTTTTTTTCCACTTAAAGTTTTCTGCTTCAGCTTCAGGCCACAGAGCAAGATGATCGAAATTCAAGCCACGCATATCCACAGCTTTGTGCTATGCGTGATTTCGTTGTCCCTGCATAGTTTGATTAACTTGCTTCTTGCCCTTAATGCCCAACAAGCAACAGCCTAAGGTATAGATGGTCTGGTAACAGTCTCCACTTGCTGGCTACTGCCAATTTCCATCCACTTCGTCTTCTTTAAATTAATCGAGATACACAGATATAAAGACCCCCGTTAGAACAGTAACGATGCCCTCGCGTCGACTCGTTGCCTCACGGGTCTGAGATAGCATCCGCAAATTCGAATTTACAGTCTAATTCGTCTATTGTCAAGTAGGCGTTGTATTCAGTGGTTACGAGCATCGCCTGCGTGGATCTGGTGACTA